ATAAAATATCCAAACTAGTATTAACTATTAAGAAGAAACCAATGAGAACGAAAACTCCTTAAAATTCCATGACCCCTCTGGTTTATCCTTTTAACTCACTCGGTCACTCCCATGACACTTTGAATCCTGGTACATATCACAAGCAAGCTCCGCTATGAAAAAGGACATTATTCCCGATGTGGGAAGCAAAAAGTTTATACGAAGTATATTAACTGTCAAATGTCAATAGAGCGGATAAATATTCTATAACACATCGCCTCCCACATGGCATTAGGTCTTGTTGGCTTTCAATGAAGATTACATGCCCCGTGGAAAAATCCATCTGCGAATTTGTCATTTCTTCAATGTATGCACATTGCTATTTAACAATGTGAATTTCAAATATTCATCAGATTCCTTTACTAATATAGAATAAACGCATTTGAGCAATTCTTATGGAAGACCAGTCAACTACCATAAAGGCTTAATAACTGATACTCTCATATTCCAACTGCAGACAAGTCGTTTTCTTTATTTCAACAACTATTTCTGCTTGGTTCTGTTTAGAAAAAGAACTACCAAGATATTCACATACATATGCTTTCTCTATATACTACAAGTATAACTCTGCTGGAAGAATATTCTCCCAACCGGTTTGGGTTTATGAATGCCAAGCCCATTCAATATGGTTCACAACCTTTCTGTTATGTTTACCTTAAGAACCACTACAATCTCCGGAAACACACAAAATTCCAAAAATGCGGGCTTTACATATCACAAAGTTAGAAAAAGAAATTCAACGGAACTAGATCTCGAGTACCTGTATCATGTCATGCAAGTGGATAATGTTAGGATGATTGATCTTCTGGAGAATCACAATCTCGGACATGAGGCTCTCTTTGAGTTTGGAGTTGAGACGAGCTGTGACAATCTCCTTGATGGCCACCTCGGTGCCATGGACTCGATGCCGCGCGTGCCACACCGTCGAGTACGACCCTGTCCCTATCTGCTTCCCCACCAAATACTCCCCCACCGTGAATCTCCCAGTTCCACCTACTCTGCCGCCAACGCCCATCGATTGAGCCATCCAATCAAAGTCCAAACCCTAAGAATTCTGAGCAATGCAACACGCCCTTATCCGAGATTGAGTCTCTTATTTAGCTAAGATGAAGGAGCACGAAACGAAGTCTTACTATAGCAACTTTGATTATCTGCTGGATGAGCTGTACGGATATGGAGAACTGATTAGAATTGGATGTAATGAGTTTGACGAAGATGCTAAATAAAGGTTAAATGATTGAGATCAGAGAATAAATGCAATTTAATCCAACAATAATTATTGAGAGCTTTTGGATTACTGCTAATCTGCTATGGCGTGTGGCTTTATAAGCAGACGAAAGGCTCAGGGAAAGTGGTACATTGTGACTGGACCTGTACAAAAAGGGCCTGCACGTTCGGGTCGCCCAACCCACCCTGATAAACAACCGGGTTGGACATATTTATGGGTTTACCCATGGGGTCAGGCCCTTAACTATATTGTGTGTTAGGCCTCTCAATGGGTCGGTCCGGGTCAGAATGTAGTGTTCTAGACGCGGGCGTGCTAAGTAAATAATGGACCTGGATCTGACTCATTTACCCAGTGGGTTTGTAAATTTGGATCCGGACCCAGACTCAACGGGTCTTGGAATCGAGTCGGGTAGACCCGCCCGTCAAGTATGATACGCACATCATTATAAACTTTGTGAAAATAACAAGACATGTATGTGAACTATAAAGCAAAATGTACAAATTTAAAAGCAAAATATATCTTCACTTTTCAAAAAAATCAAGGACTCACATAGAAAATTAGTAATTTTATCTAATAAAGTATCAGTTCTTGTACATGCATATAACTCCACATTCTACGTCGCTTTCTCTCGCACAAAAAACTCGTAGAATGAACTAGAAATTAAGTCGTAAAAAGTCTCTTGGATAATGATATAATAATATTAATAATCATGTGTAGTATTATATATGATAATGATATAATAATAATAATAGTAAATAAATATTGTGTTTTCCTACCGAGCCCAATACACACTTTATCGGTATGTTATTTACGGACAAAATGGGCATTAGTTTTAGGGTATCTTACTATCTCGATCAGTATTACTTATATAGCAGTTATGTATTAATGTGTATATTTTTATTGAAGAATCATAACTAATAATTTTATGTATTATTATGTATATATGTATATTAGTTTATATTTTATTTTAAGTGTTATAACCAATCACTTTATGTATTAGTGTTTGTGTATACAAATAAAAAATTTTAAACGGGCCCGGGCCCTTAACGGGTCGGAATCATATGTACCATACCCGACCCGTTTATTTAAAATACCAACGGGTCCGAATCCGGGTCCGGGTAAACGAAATAAAATATAGACTCATACCCATTAAAAACAACTGGGTCCGGGTCGAGTCCGGGTCTAGACCCGACCCATTGACAGGCCTATGTGTGTATATAGGAAAAAGATCACCTCAGGTGGAATTTTTTGATAAATTTTTTTAACATGTTCTTCTCGGTGGAATTTTTTGATTAAATTTTTTGAGCATGTTCTTCATCAAGTCTAGTTTACTCGTACCAAATTTCAGATAAAAATTCAATTAGAAGGTGGTCAAATGATTTTTAAAAAAATACTGCACTGTTTTCCATTACCTTAACAGAAATTACTCCAAATGGGAGTAAAACTGTGGCAAAAAAAACAGGACTCATTATGTTTTTATTCCAAAACAGGATTATATTACTCTTATTAGAAACATACCTATTTTTTCATTTCATTCTTACCCCTCCTTTAAATATGAGTACAAGGCAGTCAAAAGTCATAATTCATAATAAATTCGAAAATTTTTAAAAATGTAGAAAAATAATAAAAACTAATAAAATATTTATAAAAAAATTAAAAAAATTATTTTCTTTATAAAAACTTACTAAAAAATAGTAAAACTCCATAAAAATTTAAAAAAAAATATGGATGTCTTTCCCACCGTCTGTACTGCCTCCATGCACCACCACCTTCGACCGGTGTAAAAATGCTATTTGTTCTGAAAATGCCAAAAAATGGTATATTACTCTTTGAGAATGCCAAATTTTTCATATCTGCCATAAATATGGCATTCCTAATGCATGTGGCATTTTCCCTCCGGTGACCGGAGGTGGTGGTGTTGGGGTGGCAGATCGAGGCAGAGGTGATTTTTTAGCGTCTTTTAGTTTTTGTTTTAAAAAATAATTTTTTTAATTTTTTAAGTTTTTTAAATTAGATGTCTTCCCCACCACTGGTACTGCCTCCCTACACCACCACCTCCGACCGGTGTATAAAAAAGCTTTTTTTTTTCAAAAAACTGTTACTTTTTTCTAAAAATGCCAAAGAAATGACATACTTCGTTGAATGCTAAAATTTTCATTGAATCTGCCATAAATATGGCATTCGTAATAGATGTGGCATTTTCTCTCCCTTGGTGACTGGAGGTGGTGGTGCTGGGCGGTAGAGGCGGTGGTGATTTTTTTTGCGTTTTTTATTTTTTTTTATTTTTTTAATTTTTAATGTTTTTAAATTATTATTATTATTTAAATATTTTTATTAATTTTTTAGTATTTGTTTACAATTTTTTATTATTATGTTATTATGAATTAAAACATTTCAATAGCATTTTAAAACGGATAATTGTTTTCATGTCAAATATGTAGTGTGTTTTGATGTCAAACATGTCAAACAAACGCTCCTTTAGATTTTAAACTAGGTGTCATGAGTTCAATTTAAAGCAACACTCACACATTATAGTTGAACTCAAGGCCATATCATCCTCACTTTCAAGGTACTCAAATAGCCCTAACTCAAATAGGCAGTAAGGCAGACAATGAGAACATGAGAAAATAAGAGCTCTTAATTGTGCTAAGTTGTATCATGCTCACTATAGACTTAGTTGTACTATATACACACTACTTCATCCATAGGGGCATTGGTTGGCTAGAATTTGTGATTCTTTTATTTTGACAATCACATTGTTAGTAATTCCTTTCAAATCAAGATCTCTAGAATAGTGTGTTATAGTTATATTGTTTTTTATTGTATTCTTCTTCAAAAGATAGTACACGTAATTTACATTAAATTAAGTAATTAAAAAGAAACGATTCTTCATAATATTTCAATGTTGATAATATCCTAAAACAAAATTTTATGCATTTTTGGATTAATTGTATTGTATTGATATTTGGTTAATACATTTTTGAATTTCTAGAATGAAATTTTATAGACATCCCAATATTATTATTTTTGTTTAATTATGAAGTTTGGGTAGTAATATTCTTATATAAAAGATATTTAAAAAACTAAAAAGAGTTGTTTCAAACCAAGTTTTCCTCATTTTCAAGGTTCTGATTGCCTAGACCGATTTCTAGACCAAGTCAACTGTTTTCTCCCGGTTAAGTTTTTAAACTTAGGTAATTGATAGACATTACTAAGTTAAATGAGAACTAAATAATCTCAAATTTAGCTATACAAGTGTATGTATTCAATTTTATTTATTACTCCAACTTTTGAACACATTAGGGTGTGCTTGGGAGTTGGGTTTTGAAGGGAAAGGGAAGTTTGATGAGAGTCTATGACCCTGCTATTCATTTTGGAAGTTTATAAAATTGAAGGTGGTGATTTTGGGGGGCTTTGGTGACCCTCCAAAACCCTCTAAATGCTCAATTTTTGAGTTCCCTCAATTTGGAGGGTTTTGAAAGATCATTAATGAAATGGTAATTTAATCTCAATTAAAAATAAATATCAGTTCAATTATTTGAATTCGTCATATCTCAAAATGATTTTAATTATAATTCATTTAAAAACTCTCTTCTAGTTCGTCATTCCTCACCCTCTCCTCGTTTTCCTCTCCTACAACATACATTCAAAGTCTTCCCCTTCTTCTCCCTCCAAACTCCCAAACATACCTTTAGTGTAACATGAAACTCACACAAAGTACAAACAACATATAAGACACTATAAAAGTAACATTCATTTGATTTTAGAAAAAAACGGAGTAGTACATACCACATAGTAGTAGACTAGTAGATATAGCTACATTACAGACTTCTTTATCGCTTGCATGAAGAGTACATATATAGGAATAATAAAAACACTTGTGATTAGTTGTATAACAGAATTAAATGTAGAAGCTCATAGAAGGAAAAATCACACTTTTAATCCCTAAAATATTCACCATATTGAAATGTCAGACCTGTGTTTCCTAGTTTGTAAATGACATCACTCGATTGTCCAAATTGCTTCAAATGTGGTCCTTTAAAGGATGAAATATACAATGTGGACGAGAAGTACATTTCACCTCTCAAAGGACCACATTTACATCAATTTGGAAAATTGAGGGGTGACATTTACAAATTCAAAAATACAATTTTGACATTTAAATATGATGACTATTTGAAGGACTAAAAATGCGATTTTCCAATGTAGCTAGAAATGGAAACCTCCGGCCGTGTAGCCTCCATCAATGTGGATAACCTGGCCAGTAATGTTCGAAGCAACTGGTAGGCATAGGAATGCCACCAACGGGGATATCTCATCCGCTTCTGCTAATGGCTTCAATGGAGTTCTCATCGTAAGTGAACCAAGAATTGCTTGGATTCAAGGGTCAATATCCTCCTGCAAAGTCCAACTATTATAACTCTTATGTGATTTAATTAATTATTTTAATTTAATACGACATCTATGGAGATTTCAAGATTTGACTGGTGTGAGGAATAAGAAAAGGGAAAGTATATACTACCTCGAATGTATCATACTCCCTGGTTCCTAGTAAAACTTTCAAATGAGTTTGACACACAGTTTAAGATAGTGAGTATTGTGTGGTGGAGAGTTGTGCAGAGGAGAGAGGAACGTGTAAGAAATGTTGTAAACCACAAATTCTTTACTAAAAGGAAAAAATAGAAGTTTTAATTGGAACAGACGAAAAAATAAAATTGGAAGTTTATTTAGGAACGGAGAGAATATATACCTTATCATATGGATCAATTAGAATATTGCAATCAGACAGTTCAAATATACATACATGTTGAAAATATGACGTAGACCAATCATATGCATTGTATGTAAGGTGTTCTAGCCTTTTAATTGGGATAATGTAGCATTCACCTTAAGAAAAATAATAAATATATGGTCGAAGTGTGTGAAGAGAAATGAGAGATAAATAAAACCACAAATGAATTATTTTAAAGTGAAAGTAGTAAAAAATTTGGAACAATCAAAACAAAAAAATTGTCACTTCTAATGTGCCGTCATTTTTCATAAGGGGCCCACACCATGGTTATGGATCGATTTGACTCTGATATCATGTTAAGATCCAGGGTTCCATCCTAAAAGGTCAATCTGATAGTTCATGTCTTAATATAACACTTCATTTATTCAAACATTTCTGGTGTGAGATTCTAACCGGTCCTATCCCAATTCAGAACATATGTTTTCAAGTAATCAAGGACAAGCTATTGCCCTATTCTTGTCCCATTTCAGTTCGGTTAAGAATGAGAAGACGAGAGATCCCATAAAAAGAACTATTGGAAATAATCTCCATGACATTATTTGAGATGTTGGGATAAAAATAATTATTGTATTATCATAATATTTTATGTCCTCACCATTTCTTATTCTAATGGTATATATATTTGTATTTGATATAAAATATACGGAGTATATATACTCCGTATATGTGTGTGTATATATATATATATATATATATATATATATATATATATATTCCCTCCGCCCCAAAATGAACTTCACGGTCACTATTCACATGGTCAACATAAATTACTCTTAATCTTATGTTTTATATATCAACTTTTTATCAAATTTATATTTTTTTATCAGCCTTTGTAGCGGTTTTAATGTAGTTTCTCATTATGTAAATTTTATTTACTAAAAGTAATAAGAGTATGAACAAGTATCGAGTTGCTTTATCATCGGTCAAGTATCGTAATCCGAAATGGGAAGTTCATTTTGGGACGGAGGTAGTATATATATTTGTATTTGAAGTGGGCAGTATATATATTTGTATTGTTAACATATGATGGGTATGTTTTAACATTAAATAATACATAAGGGATCAAATGGGTTTTCTCTTTGATACAAACATAAGTACTCGTTCGGTTCTCACTCTTACGACAAAAGGAAAAGACACGCTTCTTACCAAGGGTCTCGAACACCATTATAAAAGAGACTCATATGAGAACCGATCAATCCATCACAGTAGGGATTTGTATCCTTAGAGAATCTACACATCAATGGCTTCATCGTCTTCTACGACACCATCAACATTCGGTTTCTCCTCAACCGGTTAGTGTTCTTATTGTTTGATTCTATGAATTTTATCATGTTTGTGAGATTAGATTCTTATTTGGGACTGAATTTATCAACACATGGACGAAGGAAGAAAGGGGTCGTACTTAGTTTCTGCCCACTTCATATTTGTTTCTTTTTTTCTTCTTGTTGATTCTCTTTCGGATTTCCAATAAACGGACAAACATGGCCGAGAAGGAAAAGGTAAAGGAAAAACCAATTTCCGGAGAAGATGATGATGAAAAGTAATTTAGAGGCAGAAAAACTAAAGAACAAATTGATTTATCAAAAAACAAGGGGACATTTATTTCTTATTGAAAATTTTGAAGATGTACTAATAAAAGTTACATGAAAAAAAATAAAAATTTAGATCTCCTTCGAAGATACTCCGTATGATTCATCTTTCTTAGATATATAAATATATAAAGAAGAAGAAGAAAAGGGAAAATGGATATTTACAGTCTACTATTCTAGCGGAAGAGAAAAAGAAATAAATAGAAACTAGAAAAAGTTAAAGAATGAAGAAAAAGAAAAGAAAAATATAAAGGGAATAAAGAAATAAAGTTTTGTAGGTAGTTCATAGTAGTAGTTGGGAACCATAAGACAAACACAAAATAAGGAACACGAAGTACTGCGTAGTAAATGCATTCATCTGACATGCTTTTAATTAAAGGACTACAGTGATATATGGGGTACTCGTTAGTAGGAGGGGGTGTATTTGGTTATTTTCATACCCGTAGCATCTAAATTGGTTAATGATTTCGTTGAAATTTATGAAGTCTTAAGTGAAGGAGTTATATTGACTGATTCTGCTGATTTATGAAAAAATAATATTAAAAATACTTTTCATTAATAAAACAAAGAAAAGATTATATGAATAAATAGTTAAAATAGTCATCCACAGTGACTTTAGCCAATGCAGCTAGAAAAGTAACTTCAACTTACTATTCAGCGCATGAAATCGTGTTTGGTTAAAAAGTTGGTTGATAAGACTGACAAACAAAAAACATGGTCTCCAAATAGGCTCATGATGTTGTACCATTTTCTTTAAAAAGATTGTCTTTCTAATCGATCTTTTTTTTTGCCATTTGTGAAATTTTTTTAATGAATAACAAGCCCATAAAATTTCATAAAAATATTAAATTTCATCGAGAAGGACCTCAAATGGCACCGCCCTCACGGCTGTTCTCATCAGGCCGGCCTGCCCTCTACACTAGAATTTTTGTGTTTAATTTAAGAGTAATGTTACATACCAGTTTCATGGCTTTTGTCCTCACGGCCCACGGTGAGACAGAGTTCACTCGAATGCCATCTTTAGCCCATTCACAAGCCATATTCTTGGTCAATTGATTTATAGCAGCTGAAAATTATAATAATCCATGAAGATATAAAATACTACTGTACTCTTAATTTTTCTGAATGTATGCTGGTAAAATATCACTTTCAAATTTGAGTATATCTAATGCTATTAAATTTGAGTGTTTAGGCATGTGAGCATTATATATCTGAGTACATATAAATATACAATGTTCTCAAATCTTTTGAATTTATCTTTTAAAAATATCGATTTTTGTATAACTTTTACTAATACAAAATTAATTCATTATATGCTATTAATAGGTCAAAGAGAAACATCGATAAATGTAAAAGTTAAGAGCTCGTTTGATAACACTGGAATTAGTCGAATCGGTTGATTCTGTTAGGTTTATGAAATTTTGGCCAAATTGTAAGGCTACTTGTTATAGATTATAATGTAAAATGTCATATGGAGTACATTGTTTACAAACCTTTAGAGGATCCATAAATGGAGAGGGCAGGTAAGGCAGTGGTGCCAGCAAGAGAGGAGATGAATACAATGCTTGCGTTATTTCCAGAGGCTTTGAGGATTGGGTAACAAAGTTGGGTCAAGTGGTAAGGTGACTCAAAATTTGTTTGCATAATTTGTGAAAACTCGTCATGATCATACTCATTTGCTTTTCTCATCTTAGTGATTGCAGCACAATTCACCTGATAAACATGCATATAGTCATTATATACGGATCAGAGTATATATAATTAGTCTTCTATTATGTTAAAATTGTCTCATCTTTTCTTTTAAATTCATTTCACTAATATTCTCTCATACCGAGCGAATTTGGTAACCTTTGTGTTCATGAAACTATTATTTTTTCAATAAATGATATGGATTTTCAATAACACCTTTTCACACTTAATTTTAAAACTTGTCTATTTGTAACTTAAATCACCTACAATTACATATTTAGTCCATTTCTTATATATTTTTGGTTTTGTATTTAATAAACAACAGAATGTCTAAACCTAAGATCCAAATCAGTTTAAAATAATTTATATTAATGCAACTAATAAATTATATGTAATTTCAATCACATCTTTTCGCACTTAGTATTAAAACACACTTGTTTATGTTTTTTTTTGCATGAGTAAACTTACATGAACAATAGCGTACAACAATAACAACAACATCCAAGCCTTAATCCCAAAAGAATTTGGGATCGGCTAACATGAATCGATCTATGATATTGATGCCAAAAAGAGAAGACGGACAAGAAAGGGAAGAAAAGAAGTAAGATAAAATGAATAAAATAAAGATAAATAAATAAAAGATAACAATAACATAAGAATATAAGAAAGATAAAAGATAAAAAATAAAAGAGCATAAAAATGCTACAGAGTAGATGATAAAAATAACATAAGAATATAACAAGATAGGGAAGAAAAACGATAACAGGAAAAAGAGAGGAAAGGTAGACAAGACATCAATCGTTCGCACGGATGTGCACCCTCCACTTTGCTCTCTCCAAAATCATACTCTCATCCAACCCAAGAGTATACATGTAATGACCACAAATGAAAAAAAATATACATGTGTGTACATTGACTATTGAATTAATATGTTAATCCACATTATGTACATTACAATATACAAGTAATACTTCATGATTTTAGCTTCATTTAATTTTTGTTGTTGAAAAGATGCATGTGCTTAATTGTTTATCACACAATATTGCGCTTCATAATTTTAATTATAGAATAACACCCAAACCCAAAAGGGAAAAGTACGAAAAAGGTACTTGTGGTTGAACCCATTTTCAGATAGGGTCATGTGTTTCATTTTGATAACCCATTTTGTTATCAATAAGATGACCTCCAAACCACCTTCGCCTTTGGATTTTTCAGATCTGTTTGAATTATTTTTTAAAAATGATTTCGCTAATATCACTTTTCCGATGGACTTTCCGGGACAAGGGTGACTGAAAACAAAATAGAAAGATGTCCTAGCGGTTGTCTTATTGAGGCGCACCTTCCGGTATTTTTCTTTTATTTTTCGGGCACTTTTGAAAATCGGGGTTACTTTTAACGTTCTTTTTCAGATGTTTTTAACGGCGTGACCCTCTTGTGATAACGGAATTCAAACACATGAAACACTTTGATAAAGAATGAAACACATGACCCTATCTGAAAACGTGTTCAACCACAAGTACCTTTTCCGTACTTTTCCCAACCCAAAATTTAGGTGTTAGATCCTCCACCAGATGGACTACATTCAAATATAATGCTAATTAACAGTTGAGGATTATATTATATTGTACTTGGTGGCAATATCGGTTAAACTGATCCAAATGTATAGTTTCATTTTCATTTTTCATTTAAACTATACATTTGATCCAAATGTATAGTTAATCAAAGAAAAATAATTAACGCATAAATTATATGGGTTTTAAAACTGATCTGCTTCAGTGGATGACGATGTATATTCAGGGCACATTAAACCACTCTGAAGTGAAAAATACGTATATTGCGGCACTCTTTTTACGTTTTGGGACTGTCCAAGTCGTTTAAAAAGAAGTTTAGGTGCTTATTAATAAGTGCCGCACGTTATGAAAAATAATTTTAAAACCGCTTGAATGAAGAGTGCCGCATAGATAAAAAAATTAAAATATACGTGGTGCTTAGATTTTATAGATATGCGCCGCATGTTCATTAAAATTTTATTTTTTGAATACATAATTTGTTGGAAAAATATGTTAAAATTGCATTAAGTGGTCAAATTTGGACTGTATTTTGAGTGGGATTCATTTTCAATTCGATGTGGATCAGGTCAAAGTGGTTTCAGATTCTCCTTGTTAAGGGCTTCGGTTCGATATATATATATATATATATATATATATATATATATATATATATATATATATATATATATATATATATATATATATATATATATATATATATATATATATATATATATATATATATATATATATATATATATATATATATATAGACACACACACACATATAGGTTTTGGTTCAAATAAGAACATGATCTTATGAGAACAATGAGAATGAATCTGGACCGTTAGATTTGTTTTATGTGAAATTCAATGTGCATTAGATGAATCTGTATTGTGTATTAGGTGAAATTGAAATGTACAGCACAAATGGTACAATGTAGTGACATTATGTGAAGCTAAATTGTGCATTAGGTGAATTTCAAATGTGCACTAGATGAAACTAAAATGTGCAGAATAAAAGGTATGATGTTATTTTTGTATCTTTTATTCTGTACATTTCAGTTTCACCTAATGTTCAAGTGAGTTTAAATTTTAATTATGCATATTTCAATATCATCTAATGCACATTTTGGTTTCACCAAATGCACAATTCAGTTCCACATAATTCAATCTAACGGTCCAGATTCGTTCTCATTTCTCTCCTAAGATCTGTTCTTACCGGAACCGCTATATATATATATATATGTGTGTGTGTGTGTGTGTGTGTGTGTGTGTGTGTGTGTGTGTGTGTATGTGGTACACTCAAAACGGATAACGGGTGAATGAGAAATTGATTCTCGAAATTCACTCGTTAAAATGACGATAACTAGAAAAATGATGAGTTTGTAATGTAATTTATCCCACACCGGAACACCCAAGAGATTTTCACCTCCTTACAAAGGGTGCCATCTTTGAAGGAGTTAAATCCCTGGGTGGAAAGGCTCTCTTCACGCGCAAGGGGTGCCTATCAAATCCCGAAAATGGAGAAAAAACTGTGACTTGCATAGACAACTGTGGTGTGCGTGGACGACCTGCGAACACGAATGTCGTCCGAACATCTATCTTACATAGACAACTTCAAATGGACAGTTTATGGACGTATTGACTATTAAGACCCGATGTTCTATCTTAAAATGTCAACCTAATAGGAGGAGTAACCCAGATCTTAATATAACACTTAATTCATTTGCAAGTATCTGATGTGGGACTTTAACACTCCTCCTCATGACCAGACAATTCGTCTAGATCGTGCCATCATTTATTTTTTTATCATTTTGTCATTGTCAATTTTTTTAATATCGTGTCATCATTTTTCATAAGGGGACCCCACACCATGAATCGATTTGACTCTGATACCATATTAAGACCCGATGTTCCATTCTAAAAGGTCAACCTGATAGGAGGAGTAACTCATATCTTATAATATCACTTGATTCATTCACAAGTATCTGATCCGGGACTTTAACATTGACCGGTGACGTCACACTTGTAAGGGAACTGACTTTAATTTTGATTATTTCTTCAAGACTCTAAATTTAAGGGAACACTTATTAATTATAACTGTTAATATGGTATCCAATCTCTCCAGTTTAAGTACACAAATACACATATAAAGTGAATGACAATTCCAAGTTATGTCCATATTCTTTTAAAATGTAATGCGAAGTGTTAATACATAAATACTACTCACTAGGATGTCAAGCTTGCCATTGAAGTGGGAGGAGACAGTTTCAAACAACTCAACCCTTTGTTTTATGGAAGCCAAGTCACATACAGTCCCAGTAACTTTGAAGCCCTTTGCCTTGAAGTCCTCGAGCTTTTCGTAGAGCTCGGCCTCATCGATGGCGCACGTGTGGACTGTCGCTCCGAATCCCGCCAATTCCTCAACTATTGCTGCCCTGAAATCAAATAAAAATGTATACATGATATGCATCTTCAAATTAATTAAACTAAAAGTGTGTGTTTTTATGTTTTAGGTCTATGTAATTATGCATTATTTGATACTAAAGTAAAACTAATAGGACTCTCTGGCCGACCACCTAGTTCCTATAATAGAAACTAGGTGGTCGGCCAGAGCAAATTGACTCACCCAATGCCTCTGGATCCGCCGGTAACGAGGGCCGTCTTCCCTTTAAGGGACCATCTGGAGTTCATGATGCACTCTTCTCTTTCTCTTGCCATATAAGATTGTGTATAACTTTTTTATTTTGAATATAAGAGAGATTTAGCAGTGATTAATGAATGAAGCCTGGATATTGAAACAAGAATAGTTGATATTTATAGGCCATTGATTTCTTACAAGGTTACGTACACCACATTAAATGGGTCCAAATTTAGTGTCAAAATTTTCATCACTCTAGGCATGGTGGATATCTAATACGACGTGTGTGTTTTGAGAGATCTAATACGACGTGGTTAGTAAGTTAAAATCAATACTAATTAAAGTTTATTAAACACCAGGGGCGGATCCAGGATCTTTAGTTATTGGGGGCACTTATTGGGTGAAATTGAAAAATCACTGAAATATATACTCCGTAATAAAATACTCCTTCCGTTCCATCAACTTCTCTTCGGTTTGATTTGGATTGAAGTTTAAGGGTTTAATTCACCAAACCCCCTTGTGAAATATAAATTCGGCGCATTAGCCCTCTGTGATTTAAAAAATGTGTCAAACCCCCCGTGTTATCATTAATCATGCGCCAACCCCCCTCCAAGAACAAATTTAATTTCAAAAAAGATGAAAAATGATTAGTTTTTTTTGGTATAATTTAGAAATTTTGACAAAGTTACTTGCATATTCAACTATATTATTAAAAACGTGATTTCAAAATTGAAAAATGTGTTCTTGAAGGGATTTTGCGCATGATTAATTAAAACATAGAGGGGTTTGACGCATTTTTTAAATCACACGGGGCTAATGCGCCGAATTTATATTTCACGAGGGGGTTTGACGCATTTAACCCCGAAGTTTAAGAAAGTGAGAATAAAGTGGAAATGTATAGTTTTTTTTAAGTAAGAAAAAGGTAAATGAGTGTTAGACATACAAAACTTTTCAAAATGGGAAATTAGAAGAATTTTTTGGGACGTTCCAAAAAAAGAAGTTGAAAGAATTTTAAGGGACGGAGGGAGTATGTTGTACAACCTCTATAAGTTTTTGGGTTTTATTACAACTTCTTTCTACGAGTTTTCATATTTTGAAAAAATGTTAGAAATTATTACGGAACACAGTAAACCAATTATTACATTACTCCATCTAATCCAACAACAGTTGACCAAAATCAAGAAACGAATAATTCTTAAACTTATAATTGTGAAAAATATACTCAAAACAGTAATTAACCAAGCTGAAATAGAGTATAGATCAGAAAATGGAATCTCATTAGGTAATTGCATACTTAAGGTGTGTTTTGAATTGATTCTGCTCCTGTTTCTTTTTAAAAGCAGGAGTAGAATCAAAATCAGATTTTAGAATCGGGTCTCCCTCATCTTCTAAAAAATGCTTTCTAGGAACATTTTGAAGCATAAAGAAGTACATCTACATTTTCATCCATTCACTCCAATATTTACTTCTACTCTTTGAAAGAGTAGACACAATTTTAAGATGCAAATCCAAACACGTTTACTAAATCGCTCAGAGAATTTGCCTAAATGTCTAATAGGCTCAGAGAGCCGACAACTCTGACAATCCATTTAAAGCTTGCAAAGTATATATAAGCTTCTGAAAGGTCAATCCAATGTCTCGATTTTTAATTAGGGAATAGGAGTCCATACTTCAAGTGATATTTCCCTTCTATAATTTAAAATACTCCATGTTAAAAACTATAAAGCCTAGAGAAGGAGGTGCACACGTTTTGTGTTTCGACTTCCCTTTAAGACAAGTGTGGCAGGTTAATGGGGGCATTAAATAATTTTATTGGGGGCACTTCACTATTTACATTATTTTTAGTATACTTTTAAATTAAAATTAAAGAGGTTATTGGGGGCATGTGCCCCCATTGTCAATAACATACATCCGCCCCTGTTAAACACTGCATGCATGATGCATAAGTGACTATTGATCACTGATGGGAACAATTCTACATATGGCACAATTCAAATAGCAATGTCTTAAAGAGTTATAAATTTGGGGGAGATTTGCCATTCTATTCCCGTAACTTTCGGCTGTTATCACTTTTGGTCCTGTAACTTTAAACACTAGCAAGTTTGGTCCTGTAACTAATAAATCTTTATAATTTAAGGACTTTCCCACCGGAAAGTACACTTTCCGGCGGAATAGTTCGACGACGCCGGCGACATCTTTTCCGGTATGCTTTTGCCGGAAAGTGTACTTTTCAGGGGGAAAGTCCTTAAATCGCAAATATTAATTAGTTAGAGGACCAAATTTGCAAGTGACTAAAGTTACGGGACGAATAATGATAACGGCCGAAAGTTACGGGATAAATATTGTAAATTTCCCTAAATTTCGGTATTTTTTTTGTATATTTAACATGTACGTGATCTAAAATTTTGAATTATTATTGAATATCGGAACCTTGTCTAACCCCAAGGGCACTCAACCCCACCTGGAGTATTCTGGATCATTTACCACCCAAGGGTACTCGACCCCACCTGGAGTATTCTGGATCATTTACCGCCCAAGGGTACTCGGCCCCACCTGAGTATTCAGGATCATTTACCGCCCAAGGGTACTCGGCCCCACCTGAGTATAATGGATCATTTACCCTCCAAGGGTACTCAATCCTCAATCTAATCTCTACCAAATCCTAACCTGGATATGGATAGCCTTTTATTCCTTCAACTATGGACAATATTTGGTCCTATAGTCATATAGTAATCTTTAGTAACCAACGTGGGGGGTCCCACCCGAACGGCCCACGTTAACCTACTCAAAAGTGTCTGTTTGAGTATAACCCGATACCTGGTCGGGTATCCAACCATACCCGGTCGAGTATAGTGAGTCAGTAGCCCCTGGGGCTGTTTTTGACTATTACCCGGTCGGGTATCTACCCATACCCGGTCGGGTATGGCCTTTGACTTGGCGGTCAACACTCGTTTGACCGCCCAAACGAAGTCCGATTAACGTGAAATTTTATACACAAGTAATTCTAAACGTCCTTGATCCAAAAATACCCTTTTGGATCCCTGGAACATCATACATAATAATTTATCACATTTTTAATCATCAACCATATATAACATGCTTTTCAACTATGTTTTAGATATAATCATGGCATAAACAAATACTTGATTATCTTTAATCATTCCATAAAACATATACTTGATTACTTTAGGTAATCTCATGCCTCACGCAAAAGTTATAAAGCATAAAGTCGTCTTCTCACCTTAATGACGCTTATGAAGTTCTAGCCTTCCCGATTTAGCTCCGGTGAAACTCCGGCGAACTTCGGCGAACTCCGGCGACAATTCCGGCGACCCTTTCAAATCCTTGAAAGTTCCTTGAATACCTTAGGCAAGTTACTAACAAGGTTTTATCATCACAAAACCCATATTAATACAAATAACTTCTAAAAGGTTATTTTCAGGCGAACCGGTCACTTTGGCTTCTAAGTCCGTTCTTGGACTTAGAACTACCTTCCAACCCCTCATTCTACACTTCTAAACATGTAGAAAAATCTTAGGGGTCATCCATTTGATACATAATCCACATGGTAGATAAAAATAGAGGAAAAGTTATTATAAGGTTATTACCTTAATTCTCCACACTTTTCTCAACCTTTTCCCCCTTAAACTCCTTCCCTTTGACCTCCTTGTGATGAACTCGAAATAGCTATGGTGAATGGTGGTTTGCAGAGGTTTCTTCACTTGTTTGAGGGGGGTGGGTCGAAATGATATGGCCAAGGACTTCCAAGGCCCTACACCCATGTTCCTCTTCTTATTTCCTTGGCACATCCTCACAACCATGAGTCAATTAATGGTTATTTGATTGACAAATTCGTGGGGTGCACCCCACCCATGTGGGAGGTCATCCCTTATGTCCCAAAGTGTACAATCGACCCCGAAAGTTGTATTTCTCGGATTGTTTTAATTATATTTTATTTTACCGGGTCAATAAAATATAACACATGCTCTCCATCATTATCGGACCTTATAATGAATATACATTTCTTAACTTTAATTTAAAAGTCTTCGAAACTCATTTTCGGGTTGTTATCCGATAAATTATCAATACTGATAGTTGGGCCTCATTTGACCAACCGGTCAACCCTATGCCTTTCCTGCGGCCCAAATAGGATATCCATCACCATATACATATTATCTATACCAAGATGAATATAATATGCGGTCTTGAAAATATCAGATGTGTAACACCTCGGCCCCGTAGGCCCCGAGGTAGTTACTTCTGACCTCTAGTACTGTCCTCACAAACCACCACTAGCCTTTTCCATGCACTTTGTCCTCATTCGTGCGCGCCCTGAGAAACATCCCAGGGGGTCACCCATCCCAAGACTACTCCCGTACAAGCACGCTTAACTTTGGAGTTCTTGGCTAATGAGCTCTCTTAAAAGGAGACGCACCTTGTTGGTATGAGTAGTACTATTGATCCGTTTAAATTAAATCTCAAGTGTTACAATCACCCCTACTTAGGAACGCAACGTCCTCGTTGCACCCATAAACCAATCTCAATCAAATCCCAGAATCTTTTCCCCCGCTAAGTGTCGGCTCAATATTTAACAGGTCAGCACACTGTCGCAGGGTTTCTCTGATACCATTTGTAACACCCCGGCCCCGTAGGCCCCGAGGTAGTTACTTCTGACCTCTAGTAATGTCCTCACAAACCGCCACTAGCCTTTTCCGTGCACTTTGTCCTCACTCGTGCATGCCCTGAGAAACTTCCCAGGGGGTCACCCATCCCAAGACTACTCCCGTGCAAGCACGCCAAAGAACTAATAAAAAAATTTACAATCGCGTGAATTCATAAATCATCCTTCAAGGTTTATTACATTATTTACTAAAAAGTAAATACACTTGGGAACGGTATTACAAGTTCACCCCCCTATTTAGGATTTTGTCCCCGAAATCCACGTGTCTAGTCAAACAGGAACGGATACTGCTCCCTGATGAGGTGCTCCACTTCCCAAGTTTGCTCCTCAACACGATCACTTTTCCAAAGCACTTTTACCATAAGCACTTCCTTGCTTCTTAGTTTCTTTACCTGTCGGTCTATGATTTTCACTGGTTTCACCTCATAGTGCAGATCTTCTCGTATTTCTACCGGCGGTTTCTCAAGAATATGTGACGGGTCCCGTACATACTTCTTGAGCATGGATACATGAAATACGTTATGAATCTTTTCTAACTCCGTAGTTAACTGAAGTCGGTATGCTACGACCCTGATCCTTTCAAGGATTTGAACGGACCTATATAGCGTGGGTTAAGCTTACCCCGACTCAGGAACCTGATGATCCCTTTCCAAGGTGATACCCTCAGAAATACCTCGTCACCGACCTCAAACTCCAATGTCCTCCAACGTTTATCTGCATAGCTCTTCTGCCGATCCTGGGCAGCCTTGAGTCTTTCCTGAATAATCTTTACCTTCTCTTTAGTGATCTCGACTAGCTCGGTGCCCTCGAGATTAGCCTCGCCGACCTCATCACACCACAAAGGTGTCTGACATTTCCTCCCATACAATGCTTCGTACGGAGGCATGCCTATACTCGCCTGATAACTGTTGTTATAGGCGAATTCCACTAAGGCCAATTGATTGTCCCAGCTTCCCTGGAACTCCAAGGCACATGCTCTCAACATGTCCTCCAAAATATGAATCACACATTCAGATTGCCCATCCGTTTGAGGATGAAATGCTGTGCTAAAACTCAACTTCGTTCCCATTGATTCCTGGAACTTAGGCCAAAACCGTGATGTGAACCGTGGGTCTCTATCCGATACTATAGTAACCGGGACCCCATGAAGTCTCACAATCTCATCTGTGTACAACTTGGCTAGTCGCTCAAGCGTATAGGTAGTGTTGATAGGTAGGAAATGATCACTCTTGGTCAGCCCTATCAACAATCACCCATACCGCATCATAGTTCCTAACTGTTCGTGGCAAACCCACCACAAAGTCCATAGTAATATGCTCCCACTTCCATTCTGGAATGGTAAGTGGTTGTAACAACCCTGTTGGATGCTGGTGCTCTGCCTTAACCTACTGATAGGTAAGGCAACGACTCACAAATTTTGCAATCTCTCTCTTCATCCCCGACCACTAGTAACTTTCCTTCAAATCTCGATACATCTTTGTACCGCCCGGGTGCCTGGCATAAGCAGATGAGTGAGCCTCCTCGAGGATAGACTTACGGAGCTCCACATCTGATGGTACACATACTCGTTCTTTGAATAGTAAGAGACCATCTTCTCTCTCTCGGAAACCCTCCACGGGCCCCGCACGCATCCGTTCACGGACCTTCTGTAGTTCTTCGTCAGTGCTCTGATGTGTCTTGATCTCATCCAATAAGGTGGGTCTCACCTCAAATCTGGCCAATAAAGCCCCATCCGTGGATACCTCCACATGTGCCCTCAATGCCCGTAAGCATGTGAGTAAAACCCCTGATGAGCCCTTCCTACTCAATGCATCGGCTACTACATTAGCCTTGCCTGGATGATAGTCTATGATCAAGTTGTAATCCTTGATCAACTCCATCCATCTTCTTTGTCTCATGTTCAGCTCTTTCTGAGTGAACACATACTTCAAACTCTTGTGGTCAGTGTAGATGTGACACAACTCTTCGTAGAGGTAGTGTCTCCAAATCTTTTATGCAAACACCACAGCTCCTAGCTCCAGATCATGTGTGGGGTAATTTACTTCATGCTTTCTTAACTGCCGAGAAGCATAAGCAATTACCTTCCCTGATTGCATCAGTACGCATCCAAGCCCCTGGATGCTAGCATCACTGTAGATGTCATACTCTAACCCTTGCACGGGTAGAGCAAGTACTGGTGCCTAAGCCAACCGTTTCTTTAGTGAGCTTCGTGAGTGGAGATGCTATCACCGAGAATTTCTCCACAAATCTGCAGTAATACCCCGCTTAACTCCTTATCTGCTTCAATCTTGGAGTTATCAACTGAGACGCCCGAACCCGATATCACATGCCCGAGAAAACCGATCTCCTCAAGCAAAAATTCACATTTGGAGAATTTGGCAAAGAGTTGCTTATCTCGTAGCATCTCGAGCAGAAGCCTAGGTGTCTCTCATGCTCTTCTTCATTCTTAGAATACACCAAGATGTCATCAATGAATACTATGACGAATTGATCCAAGTTTTGATGAAATACTCGGTTCATGAGGTCCATGAATGCCGCATGGGCATTGGTGAGACCAAACGACATCACTACAAATTCATAGTGACCATACCTTGTACGGAATGCACTCTTGTGTATGTCACTATCCTTGATCTTTAATTGATGGTAACCCGACCTGAAGTCAATCTTAGAAAACACAGTTTCCCACCGTAATTGATCAAACATGTCATCAATCCTTGGGAAAGGATATTTGTTCTTTATCGTGACCTTGTTCAACTGACGGTAATCGATACACATTCTAAGTGTACCATCTTTCTTCTTTACAAAGAGTATCAGTGCTCCCCATGGTGAATGACTCGGTCTAATGAATCCATTATTCAATAGCTCTTCTAATTGAACCTTCAACTCTTGAAGTTCAGCCGGTGCCATTCGGTATGGAGGAATCGAGATAGGTTTTGTGCCTGGTTCTACTTCAATCACAAACTCAATCTCTCGATCTGGTGGAAGTCCCGGGAGTTCTTCAGGAAAAACCTCCGGATACTCGTTCACCACCCTCACTTCTGTGAGACTTTTCCCTTTGCCATCCTTGCCTATGACATAGGCTAAGTAAGCTTGACATCCCTTCCTCATCATACACCTTGCTCTTATGGCCGATATGATGCAAGGATTGAATTTCTCTCTGTCTCCCTCGAAACATAGAATATTTCCTTCACCATCCTTGAGTTCTAACACCTTAGTGTAGCAATCTACCTTTGCATGATGTTTTTCAAGCCAGTCCATGCCGAGTATGGCATCAAACTCAAGCATACCTAACGGTACCAAGTCACCCGTTAGACGGTGCTCCCCTATCTCCACATCACATGAAGGATAGTAATCATTCCGTTCAACGTCATCTCCTAGAGGTGTAGATACCAATAGGGTTTGCGTCATTGGTAATAACGGTGTGTCTAATCCCATGGCAAACACCTCACTAACGAATGAACGTTGTGATCCCGTATCGATAAGGATCCTCGCATCCCTTCCATTAATCTGTAATGTTCCTACATTCATAAGCCAGGTAAGATACCTCCCCTACCATCCCTATACATTTATGGGGGGTTATTATGTTCATACACATGTTTGGGATAGAGAAGGGGTCTTAACGTCGCAAATCGTCATGAAAAACCCCATGTTGGGCAGCCTGGGGGGCACGCACGGCGTGCGTAGGAGGCACGCACGCGTGCGTGGCTTCAAAGTTTCCTAGGAGCTACTGCCCCTCACGCATGGAGGGACACACGGGCAACGCACGGAGGGATGCATGCGTGCGTTACCCTATGCACGGCGTGCGTCCGACATACATTTTTCCCTGGAGGCCGTCTGCCACCTACGCACGGTAGCATGCACGCGTGCGTGTAGGTGTGCGTGGTGTGCAATGGCCATTTGAAGCCCGTTTTGGCCAAAATTTTCCCGGTTCACCCCGTGGTGGACCGTACTCAGACCCTACGACCTACATCATCGTTATAAACCTAGAACGAGTCGAAATTTAGTGTATTACCTGCAACGGAGTCCGGGTTTGCTCATGCATCCGCCTCAGTCATTGCATATACTCGTGCCTGGGTCCTCCTTTCGTTAACGGACGCGGCGTTGCTAGCCGTGGGTCCTCCCCTTCCCATGCCAGCCTGTGATGGTCCTGCACGTCCCGTACTAGCCGTAGGTCCTTCCGTAGTCCCCGGTGCTCCCCCTCCGTTCAACATTGGACAAAAGGGTTCGAGGTGGCTCTTGCTACCGCATTTGTAACACCGGGGCGGTGTATTGCACTTCTCTGCATGATTCTTGGCGCAATTTGGGCATCTCGGCGGCCATACCCTCCCTTGGTTGGGCCTATGCCCTTCAAGACCCTTATTCTTCTTTGCCGGTGGTGTCGGCGCCCTAAATGAACTTCCACCCCCGACATGATGCTTACGGGAATGGTCTTGGGGTCCAGAGCTTCCCCATCTCCACTTCTTCGCCTCCTCGGCGTCTCTCATCTTCCTCTCATTCCATTGGGTCTCCCAGAGGAGCCCTTGATCAACAATTTGTCTAAATTTCATATTATGATGATAAGTAGTCCGGTCACGGATGTCCAACTGTAGAGCATCCCAAAAATGATTGGCCATATGATTTTCATCCAAAGAGTATTTTGGTATGAATCGTGCCAAGTCCTGGAACCTCTGTTCCAATTTCCTCACCGAGCAACCATCGTCCTGTTTCAAATTCGTGTACTCTCTCCTTTTGAGGTTTATTTCAAATTCTGAGTAGTACTGATTGTAAAATTCCACTTCGAATTTCTCCCAGGTGGCTTCGCCGCAGAACTTTCCTTCCACGCCTTCCCACCATACAACAGCTACCCCATCTAGTAACCTGGTGGCAACCCTCAACTTCACGTCGAGTCCAATTTGCATGTCCCTAAAAACGTCATTCAGCTTCTTAATCCAGTCGACGGCCTCAGATATGTCGCCTTTTCCATCAAATGACTTGCACCCCAAGGCTCTAGCCTCCTTGAGGTACTTGGAGATACGCACCATCGTGTCTCCCCCGAATGCCCCAGATGGAGCACTAGAAGTACCCCAGCTTCCCTGCCCCATGGTTTGCCTAGCCTGTCTAGCTTGGCGTCGTTGCTCCCTCTTTGTTTTGTTCTCAAGGTACCATTCTAGTACCTCGCTCATACGGTCATAATGAGGATCATCATCCTCATCTTCTTCATCAAAGTCCTCCCCGTTGTACGTGGTCTCCTCTTGCTCTGTGCTTGGAGCATAGGTGAAATCGTCCGTTTCGGTGGCCCAAGACGGGTGCACAGAACCGACTCGTGTACTACTTGTCGTTGGGGTACTAGAACGCCCACGACCCTGCCTCGACCTCCTCCTCGGCCTTGGCCCCGACCTCTACCCCTAGAGGTCCGTGATTAAGCCAGTGTGTCGTGCCCGATGGCCCCCGGTACACGACCATTGGGTTCCTCCTAGTTATCCTGCGTGGCATGTCAGATCAGCCGCCAGGTTTGTCATGAAGACAGGTCATTATGATTTTTTTTTACTTAAAGTGTATTAATGATATGAAGTTTATTAACAAAATTGTTTTTGACCAGGATTAATCTAAATATATTACACTACTAAAATATGATTACATGTTTGGAATTTTATTTGAAAATGTTTATCCTGACCATTTTTAAGTTTTATGTGCAGTACATTAAAACATTTATATTCAAAAAGTGATGTGATATACGAGTATATGATACTCATAAATTGTTAATGGCATCCATAGAGTATGATTTGACATAGAAAACACCTTTTAGAACACTTCATACTTTTCTTAAATGCGATTAGACATTTAGAAAAGGGAGCCGGAGCAGTTCAAATGGTGCAACAGTTTAGAGTACACGTGTTGGCGGCTCAACTTACCAACAAAGTACACTGAAAATGTTTCAACATAAATACATGGTTCACCTACTTACTTTTTCATGCTATTCACTCAAACACTCCTCGCATCACATAGCTTCATTTAGTATTGAAGTCAAAGGTCGTTAAAGGTGATTCTTTACTCATGTATCTCTTTAAAGGAAAAATATTATCATTTAATATGTCAACTACCTTAAAATATCCAGGTTTCTTTCTCAAACATCCACCTTAAAAGGTGGATTATTTATTATGATGAATACCTTAAAAGGTTCATGGTGGAATCAGTAGTATTTATTATGATAAATACCTTAAAAGGTTCATGTTGTTTTTCTCACACATTCAGCTATGCTAAGCATTTCTTATGGGTGTACTACTGAGCATTTATTATGAAAATGACTTTAAAAAAATCAAGTTCTATGAAAATCTTTTTTTAATACAACCTAAACCATATATACTGCTTTTCCTAACGCATGCATGCTATAATAGTTGCTACAAAACCTAACCGCAACATACTACTTTTCTTGAAAATTAATTATGCATGTCATTTTTTAATGATAGGCGGAGGATGATGGGGAAAAAAATCCTACCAAATATGATATGTGGTGTCTGTGGGAGTGGTTAATGGGGATATCTAATTGTGAAGTCTTCGGTATGCTCTAATGCAGCACATCAGTACTGTATGAGAGATGTGTCCTTTGACCCGCTTCTGGTGTGACTGTGTGATGAATGTGAGGGTCACATTAATCAAATTGAAGAGCTTGACTCATATGGGATGATTCCAGAGATCAAACGTGAAGGAAGAGGTTCTGACACCTGATTTTGTGATCCCTGATGTTCAAATGGAGGATTTGCCCCCATTTACAACTCAGGTCAAGGAGGAGGTTGTGATCCCTGATGTTGAGATCCCTGATTTGCAGCCATTGCCATCTCAAGTAGGAGCAGAGATGGTTTCAATGGCCGATGACCACCCCACTCCTAAGGAGGTTGTGGGTGAACCTGGTGCGATGGCAGTAGGGCCATTGACTGTTAGGAGGTCTCCGAGAAAAAAAAAGCGCTGAATCAAAGGTATTTTGCTGGGGAGGTGTTGATAACAATGAATTTTCTTTGGCTGGTTGGGGAGGAGAAGCATTGAAAATAGTTTAAAATTGTGAAGTAGTTGAAGGTGTAAGGGTGTGGTAGATGTTTTGCACGCCTGGTGTGTGGCGTATGTATGTGAATGGTTGTTTAAAATTGCTATTTTTTTTTTGTTTTTATCACCCCATCTTTATGTAGATGATGTTTTGGAGAACAATATTTTATGAAATGAAGTTATTTTGTTGGGATATATTGTTTTGCAATTGTTTTATTCTTAGTTTCTATATACAAATAGTTAATTTTTTATTTCATTCTTATTCGGAGTTCCAGATAGAGAGTAAACCGTGGTGAGTTTGAGTCGACTACCATGCCTAAGTTGTATAAATCTACAACACTAGATCTAAAGAGAGGATATTTGTCAAACTACACTTACGGTAAATACATTTTAACTACTTTAATGTAAATGAAATGTTATTAAATATATCCATTGCTGTATGTTTTAAAAGGTATGCATATTCTACTTTCCTGAGGATTAAAGTATATTTATATCTTGGCACAGTACTTTTCAAAATAATAAATAAATACTGACGAACATACCTTATCATTTAAAAGGTACGGCTAGCATACCTAATATTTATTTTAAGATTTCTAACTGTGGATATCATGTTCGAATTATGTATCCAACTCGTAGCTTGGAGTTTTACCTTTTTGTTTATGAACCATGTATCCAACTCTAAATGTGGATACCTTATAGTCTAAAGTATTTCAAACTCTTAGGTTGGAGTAGATATCATGTTTGAATTAAGGACATTATCATGGAAATGTTGTCAAATTTTGAGGATTCAGAGTAAAATGATGAAAATGTGAAATAAATTGTTTTATTTTAAATAATAAACACATTGTTTTATCATTACCAGATGGCATGTTTTCTCCAAAAGTGGTAATGAGTGAAAGTTTTCAGTTTTCTCTAAGTAATCAATGATGCTTATTCCTCATAAAGATAAGCTTGAAAGGTTTCATTTTATAGTAATTGTTGATTGAATCTGACTAAACTTTACTATATGCATGCCATTTGAAAAAAATCACTCAAAGATCAAGAAACTATGAGATATTAATATTCAATATTGAATTTCAGCCATTCTTTTAATATCATGTTATCAAATTTTATAATTACTTTTTTTGTTGATGCAAGTATAAAAGATTTAAAAATTACCATATTCAAAGCATTCATCGCATTTTGTGTAATAACCTCTGTTCAACTTCTTCAAAGCTATCATTTGGTATCTCCAAATACAACAAAAATGGGGATAGTAAATGCGAAATATATGTTTTGTCTATTTGTTAAGGAGCTAAAAACAATCCACGTTGATACAAATCATTGTTATCATAAATATGTAGTGAGGAATTTCATATATGCAAAATTATAGGTAAATAAATTGATGGATAATTGATACCCATATTGTATAAACTAGGAGATTTGAACAAGAATGTAGTAGGGAAATGGGGAAGAAGAAGATGAATAGTGTATAGAATGAATATTGGTTGTATGAGTTGTGTAGCCTCCTAAAGGAGTATATATAGGGAAAATCCAGGTCTGGGCCTCTAATATGGGCCTGACAGACCCGGTTACATAAATGGACTGATAGTACAAAAAACTAATCTAGAACATTTGAATAATAATAATGTACAATAATATGAATGATATCCGCTAAACGTGTGTGGGCCGCTGTCCAGGCCCAGTAGTTGGCAGACCGGGGGGTCGGAGTCCATATATTTCATCAGGAGTCCCCCACTCCCTGAGTCGAGAGTACTCGAGGCGAAAGGGAGTAGTCCAAACTGTATCTGCAACGTTCTTCTGTCTTTGATTTCTCCCTTTCCGGCCGGGGACCACCACCCTTGTCCATGATGGGGAGGTGCCTCGTTAAAAACCTTTACTAGGAAAAAACCCTGTGGGAAAAAATCATAATAAAGGGAAAAAGAGTACGCCTAGCGCCCCCAACATGAAACAAGGAAGGTAGGCCCCTTCCAGCATAATCATTTTTGTCTGGTTCAACTTGTCTTCATCTGACTTAGCTCTCGTTCCTGCTCATGCGTGATATTTGCTGCTCATCCAGAAAATCTGACCTCTCAGTCCCCCAGTCCCCCACTCTTTGAGGCGAGTGGAGTCGAGGTGAAAATGAGTAGAGTCATCTTCGTACCTACACATTTAACATACATATAATTTTTTTTCTTGGGGTTTATGTTTCCGATCAGGAGTTCGTCACTTGAAAAAAGTGGAAATGTGAATTGTTGATGTAATGATAAAATACTTAGTATAGTGGACATGCGAGCCATTCGTACGCAACGGTCGCCACTCTTGGAATGACTAAGACCGGTCTTCGTGCCTGACTTGGCCGGGGCTTTGTGCCTGACTTGGTCAAGGCTTTGTGCCTGCTTTGGGTCAGGGCTTTAAATCCTAGTGATGGGTCTCAAGCCACAGTCTACTAGGCATTTGATCATAATTGTGTGATAGTTTGGCATTCGCCCGAAAAAAAGAAATGATTTAAATAAGTATAAATAATGTGAAAATTAAAAGTACTAATCTTTTGAGGTGAGCAGTCTGAAATAAGAGCTCGGACCAGGAGTTGGACTTCCTCTACGGGCGGCCCAATTGATGAGTTAGAAGCTGGAGTAATGGGCTCCCCGTATCTATTGTTGTGACCTAGGCAATCTCCCAACACCTCCTTAGAGTCATGTACGTTCTCTTTAACCACATATCATACGGCTCTTCTCAAGTAGAAATGTTGACTTGGTTAATTGATTTGCAAGCTTTTTGTCCGATCAAATCAGTCCATGACGCCTTTTCATCCACCATCTACATAACTCACCGATACCAGTAGAAGTCACGCCTTTGCAGTCACAGGAAGGACAGAGGTCAGCAACGTCGATGGAGGCTGCAAAAACAACCGCAATGCTGAATCAGAACAAAATCCGCACAAATCAGATCTGATATGTTGATCCACGGCTGAATGGGTAGCTCGATAGGAAGAGATTCAAATCTGCTTTTCACAAACTCCAAGTCACCATAAACGGCGAATCTTGAATCGAAAGGTCCCTGGGGCCACGATGACGGCGAGGTGGACTCACGAGCGGTGACGTGCGAGGTGGAGGGACGGTTGGCCACTGACTAGGTGGAGCTACGAGTGTTGAAGACGATGATGCCGGAGAGGGTGACGCCGGAGAAGGTGATGCCGGAGAAGGTGAGGCCGGAGAAGGTGAGGCCGGAGAAGGTGAGGCCGGAGAAGGTGGCGCGATGGTGCGAGCGGCGACAGAAAGTACACCAGAAAACTTCCAACCGTTTGGCGAGCTCCCACTGGTGCGGTGATGACACCTCCTGAGAACAGCGCGGTGAACTCCCACTGGTGCGCGAGCTTCAGCAGACGGTGTACGGAGACGGCATGGACGAGGGAATACAATGCACAAGGGAACAGCAATACCCCTCCTAGCCTCAGGAAGGGAGAATATCAAATGTGGAGGAACATATTCCTTAATTTCCTCGAGCACAAAGAGAACTCCGCTGCAATGCTTGAATCATTGCTTGAAGGACCAGCTGAACTCTTGATTTCAGTTGGTGGAGATCCAGAAAATAACCCTCCTATTTTTCCAGAAATAAGGAGGAAAGTGCCATCTGAATACACAGAAGCTGACAAGCTCAGGCTTCGCGGTGATCTCATGGCCAAAACTTACCTTCTTCAAGCAATTCCAAATGAAGTATATGTTCTCATAGACAGCATGCAAACAGCTAAGGAAATGTGGGATGAGATAGAAAAGCTGCTACAAGGCACAAGCATCAGCCTCAAAACCAAGAAGACTACGATTCTTATCGCTTATGACTCCTTCAAAGCAGGTCCAGGAGAACCATTGAATGAGACTTACAACAGACTCGTTCAACTGGTAAATGAACTCAGAAAAATCAAAGTATTCAGGTCCAATCTGGAACTGAATATTAGATTTTTATCTAGCCTGCATCCTGCATGGGAAAAAACAGTGAAGGATGTCAGATCTCGGATAGATTTGGACGAAATTGACCTCTGCACACTCTATGAACATCTGAAGCAATTCGTCAACGAGTTTGCCTGTGCTGAGGATCATCACACCACAAACCCCTTAGCTCTTGTAATCGAGGCTCAGCCAAGAAGATCAACCACTTCACTAAAGAAGAAAAAGAAGAAGGTAGTGATTGAATCAGACGATGATGACAGTGATGATGAAAAATCTGATCTAGAGGCTGAGCTAGCAGACTTACAGAAGAAGATGACACTGCTTGCCAAAAGATTTGCCAAGAAGAACAGCTCCTCCAACAAGCTGAGAACCTCCTCCTCAAACTACAAGCAGAAGAACCATGATCAAGGATCTTCTAGGAAGGCATCATCAGCAGAAGAAGCTCCCAAATGCTACAATTGCGGTAAGCCTGGACATGTTATCAAAGACTGCCGCCTTCCAAAGAAGAAAGATGTTAACTTCTACAAGCAGAAGATGCTGTGGAATAAGCAGAAAATGCTGATGGTGTAGAAAGAAGAAGAAACCTCTGCCATGATTGCTGAGAATGAGAACTGGGCAGAAGATTCTTCTGAGGAGGAGGAGGAGGAGGAAGACAACTATGCCCTTATGGCACGCGTGGAGGAAGATGAAAGAAAGGGTGATGATGCGATCCCCGAAAACGAGTGCTCAACAAGCTCTGTAAGTACCTCACATACTCCTTTAAATAATCAAATGCAGTCCTTACTTGAGAAGGACAATCTAATCAAAGAACTAAAGGAGAGACTAGACAATAATCACAGGGTACTGAAACAGAATCTAGACCAAAAGTCTTCCTTAAGTGTTCAACTTGAAATTGTAAAAGATCAGGTCAAAAAGGTGTCCTCAGATTTTGAAAGCTTTGAACTTAAGATAGCTGAATTAACTAGGAAATTTGAGGATAGTGAACGGGAAAAAAGCACAGCAAAGGCTGCATGCGATTTTTTGCATAACAAGAGAAGAACGATTTTAAATAAAGTAAAAGAACTAGAGGATCTAGCTGCTAGAAGAGGTCAATCTGAACAAACTGTTTTTCTGCTTAACAGCAAACAAAAGGATGACCGATTCTACAATGCTAAAACATGACTGGGCATAACCAACCCACGTAATCTTAAGAAAGTTAACTGTCTTCAAATCTATAACAAAGATTACATGGGACTAGGGTTTGGCGAAAAAATGTATTTTCGAAGTGATGAAGACAATGCTGAAGCAGAAGAAGAAAAGAGAAAGAATCCAAAATCTGCGATTTCTTGTGATTATCCCTCTGTAAATGAAAAACAACTTTCACAAGAAAAACCTACTTCCTGCTTTAGTGAATGCCTTGACCCTTATGCTAAAGATATTCCTCACATAGGACACCCTCTAGACCCTCCCCCAAGAGTAGGTATTGCTAAAACTGGTGAGGAACCGTGTATATTTCCCATGGCTCAAAAGCTTAAAAACCTACAGAAAACTCTTGATAACGAGAGAGAGATTTGAAACTGAAAAGAAAGGTTTTGAGCGCAACTCGCAGGAACTTCTTGAAAAGTTCAATAATTTGAGTGAGCAGTTTCATGCTAAAACAGACCCTTCTACGACTAAGCCTGACAACTCACACACCTCACATGAGAAAAACAATGCTTTAAAAGGTTCGTCCACTCATCTCTCTTCTCCTTTGTTTACAGGGAATGAAGTGAATAAGGAAGGAGAAGAGAAGAATGAGTGGAGGAAAAAGAGGAAGGAAATCGCAGAAGGTAAAAAGAAAGTTTTTGAGAATAATACCAGTCCTAGATCTAGTTCTATTTTTTACTCTAAAGTTAATTGTAATTCTGTCTCTACAAAACAAACTTCTAGTAGTTCAGTCTTGAGTCCCAAGCTGAATATTTCTGAGACATCTTCTAGACAACGTTCTATTTATAATACAAGTGTTGCTTATGGTTATTCTGTTCCAGATCCCCATAATTATGAATGTGATGTGAATGTTGTTAAATCAAAGCCTCTCAGAAAGCTCAAACCTGAAAAAGAAACCAAGAAAGGAACTTCTAAGGGAACGTTTTGTATTCCTGATATGAAATATGCCCTTAGAGTTCATTCTAGGAAACATCTTAATCGGCTTTCTAAGGAGGAGATTTTCAAAACCAAACTTAAGAAACAACCGTTCAATCACAAAGCACCTGTTTACTCTCCTCCTAAACCTAAAACGGAAAGGTGGGTCCCCAAGAGAAGACCCGTCAAATCTGAAACTGAGAGGTGGGTCCCCAAGATGAGACCTACCAAAACTGAAACAGATAGGTGGGTCCCCAAGATGAGACCTACCAAAACTGAAACAAATAGGTGGGTCCCCAAACGAAGACCCATCCAAACTAAAACTGAAAGATGGGTCCCCAATCGAAGACCCATCAAAACTGAAACTGAAAGGTGGGTCCCCAAATTTAGACCCACCAGAACTAAAATGGAAAGGTGGGTTCACAATATCAGACCCACCAAAATGGAAACTGCTAGGTGGACTCCAAAAACCAGACACACTGCAAAAGCAGATCTGGCTATTGGAAAACCCACAAAAGATAGATCTTTTGTTGAAAGAGCTGCTGACCTTGGATCACTGCTCAAAGCAAGATTTAAAAAGGTGTTTCTTGATAATAAGGAAGGACCCACTCCAAGTTGGGTACCTAAACCTGTTTGATTGTTTTGCAGGACGGTCATGTGTGGCACTTAGACTCAGGATGCTCAACACACATGACCGGAATAAAGCACCTTTTGAGCAACTATACCAACTGCTACGGAGGAAATGTCAGATTCGGGAATGACGCCTCATCTCCTATCCTTGGGTATGGGGACTTCGTCTGTGCCAGTGTCACAATAAAAGATGTTTCTTTTGTCAAAGGGCTCAAACACAACTTACTGAGCATTGGACAATTCTGTGACAGCGGGATGGAAGTAAGGTTCTTTGCAAAACAATGTTGTGTTCTTGACAGCACAGGGAACACATTATTAACGTGTTACAGAACATCAAATCTGTACACTATTGATCTGAAAAGCGTCCAATCCACCACTTCCATCTGTCTGCTGTCCAAAGCTTCAAATGAACAGAACAACCTATGGCACAGACGTCTCTCCCATCTGAACTTCAAACATCTATCAACATTGTCCTCAAAAAAACTTG